AAAAACTATGACCAACATATGAGAAGAAACACGGATTAAAAAAAAAAAATACACATTATTCCACTTTTAACAAGTTAATTATTATTTTTTATTTAAATTGTGTGGTGTGATATAATTTGCAATCAGGCCCCTGGTTCGCAACAACAGAGAATATCTGGAGAGCCTGGATCTGCTTGATAGCAATCACCGCCATTGTAATTACTTCTAATACACAGGCCCATGCACTGTTTTGGCCCAAATTTTGATGAGCAAACTTCAAGGCAAAATGGGTTCACTGCCCTATCAACTTTTTCACCTGTTCAACAAAAAATATAGGCTTTTATTAAAAAAAAATAAATGAATAAATAAATAAAATATGAACCACATTATATATTTTTATATTTATTTTTCTTATAATTTTTTAAAATAATAATTATGTATATATAAAATTATTATGAAATTAATTATTCGATTCAACGATTGCGTCTGTAAATCTAGGGACAACCATGAACCAGGCCGAAATTGAAAACATTTGGTAAAAGTATATAATTTTTATTAAGAAAGATATATATTGTGAAGATTGAATTATGAATAATAATAATAATAATACTAATCATAACAACAATATATACCTGTTGTAGATGCACTGAAGAAAGCAATTGCCACGAGAAAAACAAGTAGAAATTTAGTTATTTGCATTGCAACGCACGAAACAAGAGAAAAAAAAAAATCTATATAAAATATGAAAAAAAAAGGATTATAATCATGTGTATTTATAATGGATTTTTCATATATGGTTGATTTTATTATTAATAGAATTATAATATAATTACCATAAATGACTGTATATTAAAAAATCATGTTAGTTAAGAAGTATTACCATAATTGATTGTAGATTACAAAAATCATGCTATTTTAAGAAATATAATTGCGAGAATATATAGATTGTACAATATGATTTGATGACAATTATGCTTGATTATCTACCAATTGTGGTTCAAATATATAATAAGTCCTGATAAATTTTATTAGTAAATTCTAAAAGAAAAGGAAATTTGGGTACAGAGATTTTGAAAAGATGTTTTATTTTTTTTTCGAAACGATAGAGATTTCTATAAATAAAACGCACAAATGTGCAAAGGTACAACCCCTAGCTGAATTACGCAGCCAACAACTAAAAAAACATGAATGACAAATTCGGAGATCGCCTAGAAACCGACGCTAGCAATGCTTGAAAAGATGTTCATTCAATTATATAATATATCCTCATTTATTTTATTAACATAATCTAAAAAAGAAAATTTGGGTACTGATTTTGAAAAATGTTCATAACGTAAAATCATTAAAATATCCTAACACACAATAATCATTATTAGGTAATAAATAAAATAATTTCTTTATTTTCATATTCAATAAACAAGACTAATCCACCCTATATATTAATCAAAACGTGATGAGCCTAAGTGACAGACTCGTTCGCTTTGAAATCCTACATGTCACAATACCATATTTTGTATGTACAAAATTTGGAAACAAAATAGGTTTAGAAAATACCATAAATAATTTACCATACATCATTGCTTCTCATCAATCTCTCTTTCATTACTAAATCTGTTTTGAATTTAAAGATCACACAAATCATACTTTTCTTATTTCATTTTCTATTTAAAAATCACTTGAATTTAATAATTGAGTTAGCAATGGATCTTTGATTTGACAATGTCGAGTTAACAATGTTTCTTTTACTTGATGGAGTTCACAATATTTTATTTGATAATTAATTTTTTTATATTCTTTATTTGATAATTGAGTTAACTAACACAATATCTACATTAATTTTTATATTATTTTGTTTAATAATTAGATTAACAATGTTTCCAACTTTTTAACGAATATATGATAACAAATTTTTTCACACTCCAAAATATTCAATTAAATTTGTACGGATGTTAACACCATATTTTGACGGGATTTTTTTCAATTTATTAAGTTTGTACATACTACTCTTTTATTTTGTATTTTTTTGTTCAAGTTATTTTTTCATACGTGAGTGCACAAGTGTCGTAATAGTTAGACATTAAATGATTAAGATATGTACCAAATATGAATTAAATATACAAGTATAATAGTGGATATTAAATATAAAAAAATCAATTTTTTATAATGGATTTTTCCTCTAACAATATCATGTGGATTTTATCATTAATAAAATTATATTATGATTACATAATATAAACAATCGCTTGTTTTCTAAATTTGGTGGTTGAAATTAAAAATCTCTTGCTACTCAAGAAATTTAGTTTCAGGAAGATATAGATTATATAGATAAAAAATTAAATTTGTGTTAATATAATTGGAGAAATACAATAGATTATATATGTAGAAAAAATTTAAAATATAATTTCAGAAGGATAATAGATTATACACATTTACTATGTTAGTTAGTATAACTATAATTTTGAAAAATACAATTTTGAAAAATAAGATGTTACTAACATAATTTAAATAGTATAACTATACATTTTCAATTAAATAGCATGATGATTGGTCGTCTCAATTATTGTCTCACACAGAAATTTATGTTTCATGAATCATATAAAAATCCAAATTAACAACCCAAGACATAAAATACTACAAAAAAATGCACAATGTTGTCCAATATTAAAATTATTTTTATTCATTAGATAAATTTGAAGTAGATAACTGATAATTCCTAACTTTCACTCCAAAAATTACCCAATACAGAATGATGTATTTAATCCGGATCGAATCATACGACCCGATAAATTATTTTCGACCCGACTAATATTGTTGGTTAATTTGCTACTTGGCAGCAGCAAATCTTCTTATAATGGCCCTTCACTTTACAGAATCCATCGTCATATCCTCTTCTTTGACACAGAACCTTGCATTGGGCGTCTCCTCCCGAGCATTTTGCTATGCAGAAGGGATCGAAGACTTTGAATTTGATCTCCTCATCACCTATATATATACACACACACACATATTAGTTCAACAAATTCGAAAACCAAAATTATTTAAACAAAATATGTCGAATAATGTTGATTCACATTTTATAACGGTTAGGCAGATTTGACTCGCGTCTCTAGTTTTTAACAAAAAAGTGTGTGTATCCATACTATCAAACGTCATACTTTTATTTATTTTTAAGAATGTGAAATTTAATTTAAATATTATGTGTTGTATCGATTATCTATTTGTTAGCTTGTTGATGTTTATTTATTTCACTAATTTGATTGAAAATTGTAATTGTAATTTTGGCGAGAAAAAATTCAAGACATGAATTTAAATCATTAAAAAAAATCATATTGGGAAATAACCGTAGAGAGAAGGATAGTATATTAATATAATAATAATAATAATAATAATAATAATAATAATAATAATAATAATAATAATAATAATAATAATAATGAAGAATTGTATTACCAAGGACATAGTCAGTTGTGAAGGCAACTGCAACGAGGATAACAAGAAAATATTTAAACAATGCCATTGCAAATTCTATCAAGAGGAAAATAAAAATAAACAATTGAAATGAACTACAGTGAAGGGTGTATTTATAATATTTCAGTGCAGGATATGTTCATAGTATTGGGCCTTAGTTTCTTTTAGAAAAAAACATGATTTTCACATTTGCTTAAATGATTACCAATATCAATAACCAATTGTTGATATATTACTTTATATGCATAAATATAATTTATTCAGTAATAGTATCTCTCAAGATTATGTTACAAATATTCTAGTTTTGAGGTATAAACCTAAAAGCAAATTATTGTCAAACGGGGGCAATACGAGTGCGGTCCCACACAGGTGAAGCACACCATAAGAGGGTTAGCCCAAATGAAGTTCAAGTGAGGTTCCATCCCAAAACCAATTGGTGATGAGAGGAGTAGCTCACTAGACTTATAAACTAGGTTTATTTACCCTATCAAATCAATGTCAACTCACAAGTGATATTCCCAACAGAAACTATTTTTTTTTTTTTTTT